TGTTAAACATTTATCTTTAGCAGATTACTTATCTTGAATTTGGGAAGGGGGGGTGGTGGTGCTAACTAGTTCTATATTGAATTTTTATTGTTAAATTCTAACAGAAGAATTTGCCAGTTTTATTTGTAGAGGCTCATGGTGACTTACAGCACTATAAAAACAGAGCAGGTGTTCACTCTGCCAGAACAACTGCTAATGGCCTGCAGGTCTGGGAAGTCTCTCTCCTCTGCTTTTGAAACTATGGGAGATCATTACAGTGTTCTCAGCAATGTTCAGCAAAGATGTAGCTGGTGATTTGCATCATTAAAATAAGTCACAACAGTAATGAACATTTGTAAAACCCCACTAAATGCCACAATGAGGTGGTCCTTGTTGTAAGCTCTTACAAACAGAAACATGGGAAATATGTGTTTCCTTATTATTTACTCGACCTTTGAGAAACCATACAGCTCATCGACAAAAGCTGTCCACATGGTTATCAATAGGACACAGTGGCTTAAGTCTGTCTCCAATTAGTGCAAAAGAAATCTAACCAGTTAATTAAGGATTTTACCTTGTAGATTTATCCATGTAATAACAGGGTAGAGTTGAGCTGATTTATGAGACCCTGATATTTACACACATCCCAAATTCTGTTTAATTTTTCATCTTTAATTTTGTAATTCCTGGCTTTCAGATGTTTGGAATCACTATGAAGTTCTTACCATGTTTTCTGTGGCATATTTTCAATCCTCACTAAGATGGAAATAGTATTTTGTCTGGTTATTTAACTACATACATTAATTACTTTTATTATATTATGCTTTGGAATTAAGAGCCAAATTGAGTGCCTGTTAACAAACTCATGTGTATCATGGAGAAGGGAATGCTGCAGCACAGCAAAAGGGAGGTGTGCACTGAGTGAAAATACTTCTGATGCCCATAAAACAGAATCAAAAGCAGTGGTTCTGCTGAATAATAAATCATGTCTGAATGTGAGTTAGAACTGTGCCACAGATGGTGTCCACATGGACTGTTATTTTCAGAGGCTTTTGTGTACCTGATGAAGATACCTGTGATGGACTTGTCATTATAGGAAAGCAAGTGTCCCATACAGAAATTAAACTCATATAAAAAGGGAATGTGTCCACTCCTGGGAAAGGGAAAGAGTGAGGGACAATAGCATTCTAAGGTGTTTTCATGTGGTTGATGTGTCAGTGGGGTTCTGCCCTCAGACGGTCAACACATTCGCACATTGCTTTTTCCCACATACGATCCTCTGAATTGTGTTTGTCACCCAGAGTGTTTGATCAAAAAATGCACTTCTGAAGAGGTTCAGTGATGGAGAGAGTGATAAGGACTACAGAGATGGCATTTTGATCTTGTGCAACAAACTAAGAAGGAGAAGCATGAGAAGAACTCCTGAATGGTGAAAAAGGGGTAGGAATGGAAGAAACCAAAAATGAGAAATGATTGTGAAATACTTTTATAGCATTCACTAGTCCTATTGAAGACAATCAAAACTGCCTAAAATCTACTTTTCAATCAAGATGCCAACTCTTAGGGGTAATTTTTTAGATATAGGCTGATTTGAGACTGCTGAACAATATAGACAAGCAATTAAAATGTATCCTGAATTAATATGACCCTCCACATATCTCCATTGCATGTTCTTAATTGCATGCCAGCAAGTTTTGCTTCCTTCAGAATTTATATCATGGGTTTAAAATATACAGACAACACAATTCAAAACCACCAAAGAACCACTAAAGTATTAAGAAGACAGTGAGTAACTATCCATTTGTTTTACACAAAACTGGAAAGGTGTTACCCAGATGAAAGAGTCAGGCTACTGCAGTAGGTCCTATTGCCACTGGGTGTGGGATCCAAGGCAGTGCTCCACCTCTTCAGGGCATGGCCAAGGGCACCGGAGATGCCCAGGTCTCCAGAGCAGTTCAAGCAATTCCAGATGAGACAGAGAGTAGCAGAGGAAGTTTTTAGCAGTGCAGAATAGTGGGAGGTGGGCTGTTGGGTGTCTCAGGTATTATGGAATATCCCACAAAACATAGGAATTCTTTTGGAGCAAGTACCATCTCTCTATAGATGGCATTATTCCCCGCAGAGCCTTTGTTGTCACTTCCTCATTCCTAAACCTGAGTCCCCTCCAACAGATGGATTGCAGAGTCCAGGCCAGCATCTTCAGAGCAATTTTTGGTGTCATTACGGTGGTTACAGCAGTGATGGCCTGTCATCCCCCAGACAGGGCTCTCTCCTCTTACCCAAACAAACCCCACTCAGAGGAACAGGGTGGTATTGTAGTGCTGGAGACAGTATTTCTGAGTCACCATTATCCTCGTTCCTGTTGAGACATTAATGGTGTCATTCTTTTTGTGCTGGAGCCAGTGCACCAACTGCCATTCCCTGCAGTATTCCTGTGAGTGACCAGCATGATTGATGAGTGTCAGCTCACATTTCTGGAAAGGGTATTACAATAAGAGGGAGATGTCTGAGCATAATTAGAAAAGAGCAAGCTGTCCTACCTGTCATAAATGTCAGCAAGCTGTGAATCAATTTGCAATTCTGCTACAGAGAACGTTATCATTTCTACATTTTACTACTGACATTGTACAAGAGAAATATCAGAAGGTCTTCAGTTTTACTGGTTTTTAAAAATAATTTCCATCTTGTCGTAATTTTTTTCCCAACCACATTTATATGTGTGTATTTGACTGGTTGACAAGGGTTGTGAACCATACAACTGATATATAGTTAATATATGAGACTAATAATTGCACAAAACAATAGCAATTGGCTTATATATGTGCTGCCAGGGTGTAAGAGTTCAGATTGTTGCTCTGGCAGCACACTGGTGTATATATGCCTGTGTAACCTAGGACCAGTGAATAATGTATTTGCTGTCACACTGGTAGTCCCTCTTTGGTAGTGTTAGTTGTGCTGCCTGTCAGAAACACCCCTGAAATAATGGTGCTGTTTGTACTGACTGTTCTGGACAAACGCTCTCTGTTCAGGCTGCCTCCAGATGATCACAAAGTTATGTTTCCTTAACAGTTGTTGAACAGTGCTGAGTGTTGTCTGGGCTTGGGCTTTTACCACAAGTGTGTGCAGCTTCATGCATTCCTTTCTAAGGACCAGAAATATTAATTTTCTGGGAAAAAAAAAATTATTGGGTGAGGTTTAGGTTGGCTATCAGGGAGAAGTTTTTCCCCCAGAGAGTGGCTGGGCACTGAACAGGCTCCCCAGGGCAGTGGGCACAGCACCAAGGCTGCCAGAGCTCCAGGACCGTTTGGACAATGCTCTCAGGCACAGGGTGTGACTCTTGGGAGTGGTCCTGGGCAGGGCCAGGAGTTGGACTCCATAATCCTTGTGGATCCCTTCCAACTCAGCATATTCTGTGATTCTGTGAAAATTCACCTCTCACACATTCCTGTCTTGTCCTGTCCTCAGCAATTAGTGCTTTATCAAAAGGTTAATTCCAGATCTCTTAAGATAGGAAGTCTGAATGTTTTGTCTAAGGATCAAATGGAGACCTTGAAGGGCCAGATAGGTCTAAGGCTGGCTTGCAGCCCTCAGCTGAGGATGGAGAGTCAGTGAGAAAGCTCTCTCCCGTACAGTCCTATCTGTTTCTGCTTGCTGTGATCAACTGTTACAGTTTTGCGAAGTTCAGTACAGTTCCAATTTCCAGACAAGTTTCATGGATTTGCTTGCTCTGGGCAAACACAAGCTATTGGAAAAGCAGCATTTTCAGCTGTTACCACATTCCCAGGACTATTGTCCAGCTGCCCTACTCGGCTACTGCCACCCTTGGAGGGCTGTTTAATCCATTCATCCTTTTCCTCCCAGCTGGGTTAAAAAGTACTTTATAACAAACATGTTTTCCATAGGACCTGGAGGGATTTCACAACAGTGAGATTTCTCTTTTTAAAAAATACTGTAAAAACTGGACGGAACTTTCCGAATGGGGTCAGTGGGTCCCAGTTCCTGCACCGTAAGCCATTAGATCGCGTGTGTGTGTCTGAAACCAGTGTGCAGAAAAGCGACAGCGAGTCGTGCCCACAAGCGGTTTAATGGAATATCGGGCGGGACAACCCCAGCGATCACAAGGAACAAGCTCCCCGCGACACTGGAACAGGACTCCGCTTATTTATTTACTTGTCCGTGTCAATTTTTTTTTATCCAGAGTGGGAACTGCAGAGCTCCCAGCCCCCAGGCGAACCTCTAAGCCTAAACCCTAAACCTAACCCTAAACCAGACCTAAGCCGGTCCTGTGAGGGCGAGGGGGCGGGGCCGTGGTGGCGGTCGCGGGTCACGTGACTATCACGCGCATGTGACGGAGCGCCCGACCGCGCGCGGAAGTGACGTCACGAGGCCGCTGCGCAGTTTGTGCGGAGCGGCCCCGCCCCCTCCCGTCCCCGCGGGACCGCGCACGCACGGCCGCGCCTGCGCACGCGCGTCCGCACGCCCGGGCACGCGCACGCGCACGCGCACGCCCGGCCGCAGCCAGCGCCCGCCGCGCCGCCCGCCCGGAGCCCTCACGGTGAGCGGGGCCGGGGGAGGGAACGGGCAGGGCGGGAGCGGGGCCGGGAGCGGTGAGTGCGGGAGTGGGGCCGGGGCCGCGAGCGGTGAGTGCGGGAGCGGGGCCTCTGGAGGCAGTGCGGAGCCGGCCCGGCCCGCGGGCGGTGCGGGGCGCTCGGGGCCAGGAACGGGGGCACCGGGGCCGCCGCCCCTCAGCCATCCGGGCGGGCCCCGCTCCCTCAGCCCGGCCCAGCGCTGGCGGCAGGCCCGTCCCGCAGCGCTCGGCCCAGCGGGGCCCCCGCGGCGCGGCCCGGCCGTAACAGGTGCCAGGCGGCCCCGGGCAGGGCCCGCGGCGGTCGGTGGTGCCCGGAGCGCGGCCGTGCCGCTGGTCGGTGATCGGTGTCAGCGCACGGCGCCCGGCGGCAGCTCTGTGGAATTGCGGTGGCGTCATGAGGGCACCGCCGGCCGGGCTCGCGGTCGATGCCGTCGGTGTGTGCGGGGCCGGGAGCGCGACTTGCCCGACACCTCTGTGCCCCTGAGCGGGGCAGCGGCTCGGGTGCAGTCCCTGTGTGTCTGCAAAGAGCTGTGAGCCAGAACGGAAAGAGGTACAAACCGGGCCTGCAGTGCTTTCCTAGATCGCTTGGAGCCAAGTAAACACCGCGCGAAGGGTGAAATCGGTGCTTTGAGGAAGGTAAAAGTGCTGGTTTGGTGAGGGGAGCACAGAGCTCTGATCGGGAGAAGAGCTGGACTTCATTTGCTCTTAAATGTTGATGGCGGTGTGTGCGTTACCTAATGCGACCAGACTCTCTGTCTGCTCTGGTGTGATTTTACTGTAAGATGTGTAATTGTCAGTGTCATAAAACCTCCACGCTCGTACAACACACACTTTCCAGCCTGTCTGTTTGGGGTGGTAATTACACACTTCAACTTTAAGGTTAAAAAGGAGGGGGAGTTAAGAGGCTTTTCGAAGTTCTCTCTTAGTTGTGAACTTGTGACGTTATTTCAAAAAGGAATATGGAATAAACTGGAAAGGAAATTTGGCAGTAGGTAGACTTTTAAGGTTCTTACAGTGAGGAGTTGATGATTTGGGGACTTGAGATGAGAATATCCACGAACTCAAAGTTTTACAGGAGATGGGAGGATTGGAGATGATAATTCCTATCCCTTGTGCCATAGCAACAACAGAAGTTGTAGGCTTTGAGAAATGCAAAGCATTTTGTTTAATGTTTTCCGTAGGTAGAAGATTTAAAAAAAAAAAAAAAAAGGTTTTGGTAATGTTCTGGGTTTTTTTGAAGAGTAGAGCAATGCAGCAATCACAAGCAGGGTCTTACTATTAAATTTTTTGTATATGTTTTCTTTTTGTGAATGACATATGGAACTGTTGAGTCTTTGACATATAATCGTGTTGTGCCTGTCCTTACTGATATTGGGTCCAGGTAGTGTTGTGTTAATATGTGTGTACTTTACACACAAAACCGCCCATAACAAACCCCCGGTAAGACAGGTTTACAGATGAGAATTGTGTTCATTAGACAGGATTGAAAAGTCTAAACTGCTTCTTTTTAGTCTTAGAAAAAACAAGGCATGCACACAAAGCATAGAAGGTGATTGCAGCTGTCTTATTCTTGTAACATCTTGTAACTCGAGCAGGGGAGTGAGACTTGCCTGGGAATGATGTTTGCAGCTCTGTATTTTACTCTATGTGTGAACTTTGGGCAGTTGTGAATTGTCCTTTTCCAGGCTGTGGTTCTGCACCCTCAGTCTGTGCTGTTACTGTCCAGTCCTGCTCCCTTCCTTGCATTGGAGCCAGTGCTGTCTTGGGCATTTGGTGATGTGTCTTGGTTCTCTCAAGCTGGTAGATGGCAGACATAGCAATCCTGTATCCAAAAAAACTCCCACAGATCCCACACTCCTGCCAACCAACTTAGTGAGGGGTCCCAGCACAGGGGGTGGGGTTGCTTGCCGGCTGCATGGCAGTTCTGTGTAGGCATTGATTCCAACTGGCTGCAGCCATGGACTACCATGAACCCGTGCCCTGGACTGAACATGGGATTACCTGCTTCCTGGTAAAATTCAGTGACCTCTTTTGAGGTCTTGGATGCATGGAAGACATTCAGCTATCTGCAAGTGTCAGTGCAGCCTGGGATGCCTTGTCTTGGTCTTTAGGAAGCCTTACATGCCTCCTGATACAAGCCCCCTTTTTTAAACTAATTGTGACAGAAGTGCCTGTTATTTGGCCTCGGATTTGCATTAAACAGCCTGTTTTGGTGGCTGAAGTTTTAACAGAAAGTAACTGAGACTTTAATCTTTGTCAGTTATTTGAAGAGCTGAAGTGTCATGAACTGTTTTCTTTGCTACTTAGCAGTGGAAATTACTTCTTTTACATTACAAACTATCAGACACTTATGAATTTTAGTTCTATTAAGCTTTGACTGAAAGTCAAATGGGTGGAATGTTACTAAGATGGTAATTAACTTTGGAAGTGGAAACTAGGCTGTTAGTACAGTTTCATAGCAAGTGGCATTCTAAAAGTGTTCCAGGGTGGATAGAAGTTAGGCACTGCAATGATTTGGTGTCAGTCTGCTTAAGTTCCAAGAAGGAAAGCGTTAATGGACACAGTGGTGTGCTTTAGGCGAGGTACTTGGAGATTCTTCTCCAGTTTTGTGATGGAATTGTCATAAAGTGAGCACCAAGCGACATTCAGTAAGTCTTGTTCTCTGTGTTTCTGCACAACGTTGAAAATCAGCGGTAAGAAAATACATCTGTTACCCAGGAACGTGCAGTTTGTCCTGCAGGATTTGCAGTGATCTGTGGAGGTTTGCATGCAAATCTCTCTGACACGGTTTTTAAAAGCAGAATTTCCTAGAAATGTGTGTGTTCCAAATGTAGCAGGAAAAGCCGTGTGCAGAAGAGATCCAAGTGGGAGTGCTAAAGCTTCAGCATTAGCAGCAGTTGGCCTTTGTGCTCAGCTTCCCAAAACGTGGATTTAAGAGGAGGATGATTGTCCTGGTATCTGTACCAAGATGAGACTTAACAGGCCTGATCAAAACTGAGTTTAATTGCCTGGCTTTGGCAGGAGTGAAAGGTGAAGCATTTGCACTTCCCGAGCATCCTTGCATGGTCTTTAATCGGAGCGTCTTTAATAAGTGTGATTGCCTTCATTTCAGCTGAGGGAGTAACTCGTTCACAGTTTATTTTGTGCAATTTATATACAGATGATGCACAGTAGACACTTATTTGCATATCCATTAACATGAGAATGCTTTGGAGGGACTGCCAACAAAGCAGTTGAAAGGCCTGATTCTTTGGGTTTGCTTTATACCGGTTTCCCAAGTGTTTGATGTGGACTTGGAGCGTTCCAGGGAAGTGGACTGCGAGGTTCCCCATTTCAATCTAACAGATGCCCTTCCAAGTGAAATTACGGTAAGAGTGGGATGATTGCAACCACTGGGTAATGCTGTATAATTACAGTTACACATGTTGGGTCCTTCAGAGAAGACCCGAAAATAATTAGTTTTGATGAGGAACGATCTGATGTTTTGTCTGAGTTACAAAGACTGTGAGCACTTGGTGTAGGCTGGTGGCTCCTGACTTGTCTGTCAGTGGTGACAGCAGTGGGTGAAAATAAATACCTTTCCAGAAGGTCTGTCCAACCCAAGTTGAATTAATGTGTGTTTGTACACATGTGGGGTTGGAAGTGTGGATACATTTGAAGTGGAAGCAGACATTGTTTCCAGAAGAGGCAGCTTGAGGCTGCAAGTGCCATAGGTTTTTTCCCCTTATTTAAATGGAATTCCTCTCTCTTAATCTGTACTTCGAGATCAAGTCTTGTCTTACCTTTTCTATTCATTTTCTATACCTCTTCAGCTTTGTGTGACTTCTCTTTAAGTCATCCCCCATAGTGAATGTCCTTGTGTTCTTCTGCAGTCATTGACTACTAATACTTGTAATAGTTGGGTTTTTTTAATGTATTTTACCTAAACATTCACGGAAGCCCCTTTCTGACTTCCCAGCTGACAGTCCTTTTTCTTCTCATTGCCATTCAGGGTGGTTTGAGAGGGTTACAGGGTCTTCTTTGCTCCTAATTCCTGTAGAGAATACAAGGAGGAGTAGCATATTTGTGGGGATACAGCAGTGTGGGAGAGGGCTGTTTCATTTGTGTGGGAGGGTTTATCCACCTCCTTAATTAAGACTTTTGCCCCACAACTGGGAAATGCTGGAACCATAGTGAAGCTTGAACCTTTAGGTTCAAACACAAAATGTGACATCATCAAATGAGAGGAAAATGCAGGGAGAAATAATGGGAACAGACTGAAGTGGACTGAAGAAGACTCAAGTAAATGAGAGTCCTTTTTCTAGAGAGGGGGGTACACTGGAGAAAGTATGGGAGGACAGAGCAGCCTTGCTACAACAAAATGCTACAGCAAAATACACCTGTTGATTATAGCACAGCAGAGTTAATGCTGCTAAAACTCCACGGGGCTTCAGTGAGAAATGGCACTTTAGACTTGAAGTACAGTTTGCTGTAGGACATTTCCAAAGAGATTTGTGTCAAATGGAAATTTTTGATGTGGGTCAGGTGATTGAAACATGCTGCTCTGGGGAACTGTATTCATACTAAGCGATGTAAATGCCAGGTTGTTTGGGTTTTAACTCAGTCTTAGTGGATTCTGTTATCTTCATATGTAATCAAGTATGAATCTGGAGGGGAAAAGGCAATTCTGTGTAAGTTAGTATTAATGCAAAGTGGGGGGAAATCCAAAAAACTGGTAAAATCTTGTAATGCTCTTATATCGACTTTGAGTGTTTTGTGAAACCTGATGATAAACTTACTGATAGCACTTACTTTGATTTCTTAATTTTGCACAAATGGCTCTTCTGTTGTGTACTAGGTGCTGCTGAAACTCTTGGCACAGGGCTGGTTTTAGCGTTTCTTTAAAAAGCAAACTACTTATGCTTTATAGAGTCACCATAGGTTTATCAGTGCAGCTATATTGATAAATTCCACTTGAATTCCTGCCTTAACGTGTTCTGTAACTAGGGTAACACATGTGGAATTAGACTTTCTTGTTTCCTAAATTTTTTTTTACAAAATTCTATTAAACCAACAGAGTGTTAAGCAGTTTAACGCAGTTTAAGTAAGACAGCTTGAGATGTAGAAGAGTAAGTGACTGAAGTATCAGCTATTAACAGTTAATAAGAACGTTTGGTTTCATAGGGTGCCTTTCTGTCTTGATGCTGGAGGCTGTTTGTAGTGAAAACTGGGTGCTTGCAGGAAGAATCACAGAAAATGCTGAGTTGGAAGGGACCCACAAGGATCATCAGAGTCCAGCTCCTGGCCCTGCACAGGATACCCCCAAGAGTCTCACCCTGTGCCTGGGAGCATTGTCCAAACTTCAGTGCTGTCGGGCTTGGTGCCTTGAGCACTTCCCTGGGGAGCCTGTTCCAGTGTCCAGCCACCCTCTGGAGGAAGAACCTTTTTCTACTATCCAACCTAAACCTCCCTTGAGATGTGCTTAATCTTTAAATATATACAGAAAATCAGATGATTGGAGATACTAAGGTTTAAATACGTGGATTTTCTTCTAAAATACCTGAAAAGTAGTTGCAAACAGTAGTCCTGTATGAGCCACTTGAGAAGCATCTTCAATGCCATTTTACTTTCTGTGGTGTTTGTGTACAAGGTTCTTTTTAAAACTGGGGGGTTGGTTTTGTTCCTGTGGGTGATGTTGGCTGTAGGTGCCGTTTTGGTGCATGAATGCGTCATTCAGAAAGGACTGGACACAACTGCCAGCTTCTCATGGGCTCTGAAGAACTTGGCAGCAAGTAAACAAATAAATAAATGTGGGCTGGCTGTCTAAATGTACAGAGTCTTTTGCCACTTCCTTGGGCTGTTGATGATTGATAATTTAGTGCTGGTAAAGGACTGGAATCCCAGGCTTGAAATGCCAGTAGGAATAGACCATAAGTGTCTCCTTCCCTTGGCAAGAGGCTTCATAAACAAAAGGGGAAGAGGCCAAGATTGATGGATGGTAGATGGATGAAGAGTGACTTATAGATGGAATGAGGGGAGATGTCCAACACAAGTGAACCCCTGCAGTGGGCTGTGGATCTGTGCACCAGGGGGAACTCAGGGTGATGGAAATATTTTGAAAGCGTGCTCCACAACAGGGAATGTTTCATTCCTGAGACATTCTCTAGCTGATTGAGGCTTGGGATGCTTTGAAATTTTATTTCTGCAGTGATTCTCTCCTGCTTGTGGCTACGGTTTTAGTGTTGATGAGTAGTGGAATTGCTGCTTTTTCCTCTGTTACTTTTTCTTCCAGTACACTTTCCTAATTTCTAGCTCCACAGTAGTTGCTGAGATTTCAAGTTTTCCCTATACTTAAGTAAATACTGGTTTTCTTTTTCTTTGTTTCCTATTTCAGTTACTGAAATCATGAATCCTGTGTATAGCCCTGGATCTTCTGGGGTTCCCTATGCAAATGCCAAAGGAATTGGTTATCCAGGTAAGTAACTCTGTTTTCTAACAAATTCTACTGCTCTTTGCTTTCAAGAAGAAATAGTCATTAAAGAATGCCTTCATGCAAATCTGTTTGGGAATTGGGGTGGGGTTGTCTTTAAATTTAAAAAGTGACATTTCAAGAGTGATGTTATTTCTTCTGTTATATTTCTAACTTCAGTATCTCTTCCAAAGCAGCTTATTTTAGGAGCTCTAATAATTGCACCCTGCAAGAAGAGGAGTCAGTCTATTTCTGCTGCTGCTTGACAGGCACTGTTAACCTTTCTATCCTCTACTTCTTGTTCATGCTCGTGTTTTGTGACTGTCCAAAGCATAGCATAAAGGATGGGACCAAGAAAATGACCAAAAATGGTTTTGTAACACAGATGTATTTCTTGCTTTATCTGTTTCTCATTGACTTCAGGTTTCTCACCAGGGTTTATTTCCCCACATCTCCTAATGTGTGTGCAAGCAGGTTTCATTTCTGATATCTCCATAGTCTAAAAGTTGGATGAGGCAAAATTACATTTGGACAGAGCTTTCCAGGAAGGCCAGAGAGAAGCCTGTGTGCCTCTGGGAGACATTTCAAGCAGCATGTCTTGATGCTGTCTTTTTTTATTTCTGGTATCTGTGAGATCAGGGAATTTCCATTCTGGGAGAGGCCGGAGGGTCTTTCAGCTCACATTTTGTATTCCGTAAAAAGTTAAACTTTTTCAGCTTTTACAGCAAAGGATTTTTGTGATTTATTTGGTGTCTATGTTGGGAGGTAGAAATCACTCTCTGCTGTTACTGTTTATATTCTCAGTAGCTGTACTATATTTTCCTACTGGTATTTACTGTTCTTAAATTTGTTTTTCAGCTTAGGTAATGCTCTAGTGGTCATATTTTCCTGTTCTACTTTTCTGTGATCCTCCTTCTAAATACTGGTGCATAAATGAATTCTCCTTATTGCTGACTGTCTCAAAAACATTTTAATTTTATTTTTTGCTTTTCAGATTCCTCAAACTAGTGTACATTTCTTGATTTCTACAGTATTTATAAGGGGAAAACACAAAGTGTGTTGCAATGTTTTTAAGTCTGTTGAGTGACTGGAGTGGTGCAGTAATAAATTGTAAAGCTGATGCTGTGTAACCATAAGTCCTGCAGGATGGTTTTACTCCCTGTAACTGAGTTATAAGGGCTGCAGTGATTTTACAATAAGGCAAGCAGCAGAGGTTTACTAATTAATATAATTGATGCGACAGTTATTTCTGTATTTATAATAGATTGCTTTTTCAGGACTTTCTTTTGCTTTAGGTAAAGATTATTATGAATTATTTAAATATGAAGTTGTATTTTTAGCTCTATTCATTTTCTAAATGCAGATTTATATTAACCAGGGTTTCATTTGTACTTATAACCATTTATACATTGCATTGAAGCTCTTGTTTATACTAAACTAAGTCATACCTTAATTTACTTTGGAAGATATACTATTGAGGATTCATAAATAGCAGTTTAAACATTACCACTTCTAATCTTTTATTCTACTGTTGCACATACTAGACTATGTATTGAATTATGTAAGTGCTTTATATTTGTTAGTTTGCATAACTGATATATGTGGAATTGAAGTAGAATTGTTACAGAAGTGCCTTTAATATCATGCTACAAGTTGGTTACTCAAAATTCTCCCTAGCAGGAGTCAGTTCATCAGTTCACACAACTGTGACCCTTAAATTCAGCTTAGTCAATAATGTGTTACACCATTAGTTTACTAAGCTGCCTGGTTCAGGCTTTTAAGATTTTGGGATAAACATAAAGCACATTCTCTAAATGGAAAAGTAGACTTGCATTTTAGGTTTTTTTTTTTAAAGCTGTTGCATGAGTAAGTCCCCCTTTTTTGCCTCTCCTGATTTAAAAGCTGCAGATTCTCCACTCAGCATCATTGCATTTGCATGGATTGCATGGTAATAGAAAGTAAGGAACACAGCAGTAGGTGGAATGCATTATTGAAAGGCTGTGTTTCTAAAGCTGTTGCATATTTAATAACAGTTTATATTATACTAGACCTATTTTAGGTTGTTGGATAGGTTTCCACCAGCAAAAAATCAATATTCAAATGTTCTCATACAGATGGAAGTTCTGTGTAGAAGTTAAAGCTGGTGCTTGTTGTAGTTCCATTTTTCACAAATGACTGTTTCCTGAGCAGCTCAGAGGCTCAACTGTGGAGCTGAAGCTGTGCAGACAGGAAGGAGGGCTGGAAGTGTCCTCCTGAAGGTGCAAACCTGTACAAAAGCTTTTCACCGGCAGCTCATGAGTTTGAAAACTGAAGAGCTATTTACACTCTGAAAAGTTGTTGTTACTACTTGGATATGTTATTTTTAACTTTGATTTTTAAGCCTAATGCTTTTCTTAGTCTTATCCATGCTGACCACCCAATAGCAGTGCCAAGTGTATGCCACTTGATATGTTTACAGAGTGTTTACAAAACTAGGTTAGCATATATAGTCCTGAGCTGAGGAATTCTTATTGTTGAGAGTAATTGCTGAGGACTCTGGGATTTATAATGAAATAGAAGCCCTTAAAACTGAAATAGTGGTTTAAAACTAGCAGCTTTAAGTCTAACAGTGGAGATGCAAATGGTAATTGCCTTTTATCTGGAGAAGTAGAAATCTTTTTACTTTGATAACAGAATATGGTAGTAAGTCCATCTTTCTAAATACAGTCATTACTCGGTTTTATACAGTTCGGAATATGTAAATAAGTTCATGGAAAAATTAATAGCTATGATTAATTCAGAAATTTCACTTACTAAATCTAAGCAAGTTTCATATCTTTCAAGTAACTGGCTTTTGCTAATGCTGTTCTTTGCCTTGTGTTGGAGGCCAGTGTGTCACGTTAGTTCAGCCCTGGTCGTTTGGTGTAGAAGTGCTTAACTCTCATTTTGCCAGTGCCTCTGTGAGTCTCTCTGTACTGGTAACTGTCAGGGTGTGTCTGAAATAGGGGAGCTTTTTAGATACCAAGTGTAATAACAAATCCCTGTCAAATTTAACGAGCAGTTTGGACTACTGCTGCTTTGTACTTTCTGCTTGAGATATCACTGGTCTGGAGAGTCAGAGTCACTCTGACTTGGAGGGATTTATTTCTGTGAAAAAGTCCCTTCAGATAAATGTTGTATGTACATCAAATCTTAAAACTCATGCTGGGGGGGGAAGGAATGTAGGATAATCACACAAAACTTTGTTTTCCAGCTAACTTAAGAGCTCCTTGGCCAACAGAGATTTACTGAAACAGGGATGTAAGGGAGAAAGCTGAGGTGTCACAAGTTCTATTCTCACCTGGCATTCACTTTCAGGTGGCCTGAGAGAAGGGGAGCCCAGTGTTTTAGTTGAGGAGGTGGGATTGAAGGCTGGCTGTTTGCTTACCTCAGTTAAAATCTGGGTAGACTGTGCAGTCAGTCAAGAAAGTAACTTTGACTTATATTTTCTTCCAGCTGGCTTCCCAATGGGCTATGCAGCAGCTGCTCCTGCCTATTCCCCTAACATGTATCCTGGAGCAAATCCTACCTTCCAAACAGGTATGTGTGGTAGGTATGTTTGAAAGTTGTTGAAAGAATGAGGAAAAGCTGCAGGGGCTCACAGTAACACTTGTACTGTGGGATAAGTTTACATTTGAATATGACTCATAAGGACTTATCTGATAAATTAAAATTAACATAATCTTATCTTAAGTCATAGTGCTTGCACCTTCTGAGAAGAGAACAGCTGAAGTTTTAGCTGTTGTTTCTGTATTTCAGGATGATGCTTGAGGCTTACATTGCATTTCCCTTCACTGCTTCCTTCGTGATTCTGCTTGTTTTGCATCTTACTGGTCATTTCCAGATTCTTGTTTTTTCTTCTGTTTGTTGTCCTCAAAATTAGTCTTTTTCATCCTTTTCTTAAATCATATCTTTCCAAGTTCAGCATGCTGGTGTCTTTCTGCCCTTAAAATTGTCTTGCACAAACTGATGGTCTGGAAAGCCTGGTTGCTGAGTAAAAGTGTTTTGTCCACAGTGGACACAGGAGAGGCTTTAGGTAACTGCACCTGCATGTGTGTTGGTTAAGAGAAGGGTACTGTGAGAGGCCTAGGAAAAGGGAGATGGAAGAACAGACACAGGAAACAAAGCACTCCAGTTATTTTTGTGTAGTCCTGCTTTCACTAATAGAACATGATTTGGATGTGCCAATCCGTGAAACAAAACAGTAACGGCAGCATTTCATTTCCATGTAAACCAGGAGCATGGATCTGATACAACAGCGTTCTCCCTGTGCTTATTTTGTACATGAAGGAATTCCTTACATTGCTTTGTTAATGTAAATCTAGGCCATCCTCAGGAACTCTTTCACTTCCATGTATTATGCCAGTTTTCCAGCTGTACATGGCACATAACCAGATTTGTCCCCGAGTGCCCTTGGGGATAGGAAGGTATACTGCTGGAAATCGGGGAGCTCATGTTGTGGAAGTCTGCTTGGTATTGAAGCTCAGTGTTTGTAACGGATGCATTTCATTAACTACCAGGAGACTCTTGAGGGTGTGGCAGCAATTACTGAGACAAGGCAGAGTAGATCTTATGAAATGTTTGCCTGCAGAACCTGTTAAAAGTGTGTAGCTTTCCTTGGAACTGTGCAGTATTCCCATTAGTACAACCTGTGTCACTGTTCAGTTTGGCACAGTGAGTGCAGACTCACTCCTTTGTCTTGTCTTTGGTTTTGAATTTATGGTAAGGAAATGGATCAGTGTTCTAGTAATTAAAAAAAATTGAAAGATCTGTCCCTTGGGTAAGTGTGGCCACTGTGCAAGTGTCATATCTAGGGGTGCATTTGCACTGGACTGCTTCAGAGCTCTTCTGAGAGTGATGTTCAAGGAGAGCAGTTCCCATCAGGGTCTAACTCTTGGCTTGGGCACCAGAGCCCTCTGTGGGCTTTTATTATTGCAAACAGGCTATTCAGTGGCACAGTTAGAGTAACCTTAGTGATGTGTCTCTGCCTTCTGTGCTCCACTGCATGTACCCTGCAGCTGTGCTGAGGAGTAGCTGTGGGGTTTGACCCCAGGATCAGATAACTGAAAGGTGCTTCCACACTTAATGCGTGTTGCAGTTTGCAAATCCTGCCACAGGAAGATGAACATAAGCTGCACGGAATGAATTTACCAAATCATGAGACTAATGTTTTTCCCCAATTGATTGTTTTTTAGCTCTCTGTTAGTTATGTTGTAATAGAAATTTACGGTTTCTGGGACAGATTTTTGACTTCAATGTTAGACTTAATCATGCTGTAATATTAGTTTGCACTGATTAATCTTTGCTATATAGCATGAGATATATTCCAAGTCAGAAAATACTGCTTTTTCACACAAAAGTGAAAAAGTTCTAAGATGTATAGAAGTTGGATACCATCTTTGAATGTCCTTAATTTTTAAAAAAACTGGTACTATTAGAGTCTTTATTGCTGTTGAATGGAAAATAAGCTTTTATTTCAGAACTAAGAATAGCTTTAATTTTTGGCTACTCTTTAAGCTGTGAACTAAAGTTCAAAATCTAGAGACCCTTTAATTCAGGAAGATAACTTGAAGTACTTTGTCCTAACAGCTGGGATTTTTTTATGGCCTTTTTTAACCTTTCTGATGTAACTGCTTGTTTGTAGAATCAAAGCTTTTGTAAATCATATTATGCAGCAGTATTTGAATGTGCCACTGCTGTACAGAAAAGGGACTTTTTTACAGGTAACTATCTTAAATGACTGTAGTTTTGAATAATCATATTAAGGTCTTTGCCCCATATAAGAGAGAAAAAATAAATACCTCTTGTGCAGAATTACCACCTTGCAAGAATGAAAAAGAAATTGCCTGTGGGTTTTTAGAATGAGAGTGGCCTTCACTGAGGACATAGTTGTAGTTCAGTAATGATGCTTCATGTTCAGCATTTTGTAGCTGTGGTTTCCACCACAAATAGTTCCCCATACTAATGGAAGTTACTTCCTCAGCATGCGCTATTTGTGAAATACTTAAGATCTCTAAAAACAACAGAGAGAGTGCTGTGGTGTAGCTTTCTTTAAAGGTGATAAGTTCTATTAAAGAAGTAAACCTATTTCTTTATTAGCTAAACAGCTTTGAGTTTGAAGGGTGGAATGAAATTGCAGAGAAACTCAGACTTCTGCAAAAAGAATGGAGGTCATCTGTCATCGTGCTGTCTGCACAGACGGATTTTTGACAGCACAAATGCCAGCATTCTCTCTGCTGTATGACTTCAGGTCTGTTCTCTGTGTTGAAGTCAGCACATTCTAGACAGTTTTTCAAGTCAACCTAATCTCTACTCCAATAGTCTCTTTTTTTTCTATAATTACCGAGTGTCTGTTCATCCTTGGTAGTAGTTTGTACAGTTCCAACTCAGTGGGAGTAGTGCCTGTGGATGTTGTGTTTTCTGGTGTGGTGGATCTGCATGAGACCCAAGATCTTTTCACAATAGCCCAGACTAGTATGGCCTTTCGTATTTATTTTAGCCAGTTCAGAAAATGCCAGAAAACAAATACAAACAAATGTAGGGGGAAATAGAGGTTGCAGACTGTGTGTCTCTGTTCTCTGACAATCCATCTTGAGCTCTTTGGATGATTCGGGCTTTCGACATTCTTGTTCTTATGCTGTATCATCTCCTACAGAAGGTGACTGCAGGTTAGTCAAGTGTTACTGTGTTTTGCCAGGACGATTTGGGGAGTGTTGAGAGTTGAGTGATACTAATATGTGCCAAGTCCTCCTGTGTAAGGATGCTGCCTAATGTGCCCAATCCAAATATTTAATAACGTTACTACCAAAATGCACTTTTTGCCCTCTAGTCATAGATTTGAAAAGTAAGTCGTGCAAATATACAATTAACTTTTCATGCTTAGTTGACACAGTCAAAGGCTATTTCCAGTTACTGTTACCAGTATTAGGTGAATGATTAAACTTGCATATTGAGACCAGCTTACTGAGTCCTCACATGAAGATTATGGCATTGGGAAATAAAAGAATTGTTGCCCTAACTTCAGGAAGCCGTGCACTGCCCCGTGTTTCCCACGGTTTTGATGCAGATTTGCCTTTGTTTCAGGTTATACACCAGGTACCCCGTACAAAGTCTCCTGTTCACCCACCAGTGGAGCAGTGCCACCGTATTCCTCGTCACCGAATCCCTACCAGACTGCTGTGTACCCAGTCAGAAGTGCCTACCCACAGCAGAATCCATATGCACAGGTACACAGGCAGATCCAAAAAAATGTCACTTTGGGTGGTGCTTTGTGTTCCCTGTAATACCTGTGTGAACTCGTAACCTTTCATCACATTCATTTCTTTGTGCATGGAGAGAATCTTCAGCTGCCTGCAGTAAGAATTCTTAACACAGTGATTTACAGAGTGTGCGTGCAGTTTTATATTCTCTCTTGCACTTACTGATAATGTAGAAGAAGAGACACTAGATTAAGTAGTTTTCAAAATGTGTGCTGGATGTTATAACTACCAATATCCTGATTTCATTTCATCAAAAATTGTCATAAAGTTGCATTAATTTTTTTTAACAAGTTCTGTGGTAATTCAGGGAGTTACCAAGTCTCATGCTAAGCAAACTGTTGAAAGCTATAAAAAAAAACAGGATTAAGACACTTCAGTAAACATGATATTTTGGGGGAAAGTTGACCCTCTTTGCATGGTGGAAACCTGCCTGGCATGTGAGCAGTAGTTGAAGGGAATTCATAACCACGTAACAAGTTTTATCCAGTCTGCCTAGTGTATTTGGATTTGTCAAAAATCTTTGGTTCTTTAACTAAGAGCAGCTGAATAAAAAGTTGTGAAAGATTGAGAAAAGTTCTGTCATGGATTAATATATGAAAGGAGACAAAATGAAGAGAATGAATGACAGATCACTCCTTACTGTGGAAAGTACAGTCAGCATCGGAGTTCTACAAAGGTCCCTATCTTGAATGTTACCCTAAACGCCTTAAAAATGGATAAAATGTTAAAAATTTTGCAAGTGAAACACAGTTGAAATAGTTAAAAAGAATGTTTTGGCTTCTGCTCTGTAAATGCATTGCATCTTTAGACTAATACTTTTATTTTATGATACTTTCATGAAAGAAGATACCACTTATCTTCCCAAACAGATACACTGTAATTACTTAATGTGTACTGTTTTTTCTCCAACAGCAAGGCACTTACTACACACAGCCTTTATATGCAGCACCACCCCACGTAATTCACCACACCACAGTCGTGCAGCCCAATGGAATGCCAGCAACCATGTATCCTGCTCCGATCCCCCCACCCCGAGGGAACGGGGTGACCATGGGCATGGTGGCTGGGACGACTATGGCAATGTCAGCAGGTTTGTGCACTCGCCACCCCCGTTGTTTCTTGGTGGGGCTCTGCTTTCAGTTCGAGGTGCAACACGGCTGCGTTACACAAACGTGATGCCACAGGTGTACTTGGCACAATCCTGAAACTGTGTAACTCAGTGTGTCTTCAGAGCGAGTCCAGCTAGTTCAGTGATGCTTTGATCACCTCCAAGGATGGAGGTATTGCATCCTCTTTTCAGATGTCAGTGTTATGGGGTGGTAGTTTTTCTTCATATCTGTATGGAATTTCACTTACTCTTGCATCCTTTGCTTCTCATCTTACCAGTGTTAAGAGTCTGACTTCCTCTCCCAGTGCATATCTCACTGCCAGTTGAAAGCAGCAGCCTCTTAAGGCTGAGGAAAATGTAGAGTCACAGACCTTCCTTGTCTGTTCAGGTACAACACTTCATGTGTTTGCACTACCTGCTGGTCCTCTGTGTCATGGGCAATGGTTAAGGATGTCTACTTCCTATTGGCACAGTCTGTTGGTAGTGTTTGGAGAAAATGTTGTTTCACCAGTAATCCAGTCTCATCTGTGAGTGTTTACTGAGGAGGTGTCACGCTTTGTTACTCAGTAGGTGGTTAACTCACGAAGAAACGTCCACATTCACTCAAAGGATGCTCAATTTAGTAATCCAAAAAACAAGAGCCATGAGTTTATTTCAAGATTCTGTTTTTTATTGTGTCAAATGTGTAATTTAATTTGAGAAACCTCAAAAATAGAGGAGTTAGGTATCACAAACTGAGCTAACATTAAAGTTTTGTTCGTGGGCAAGCTGGTCCCAGGTGTTTGTTAATGGTTCTGCAAAGTGCTGTACAGTAAGTCTGTTGACCCTGCTCTCTTAGAGTGCTTGTTTCTGAAACCTCTTAATCTGTAAAAACCTGCAATGCAAACAAGAACTAATTTATTCTGGTTTTTCAGTCAAGTTGTCTCTGCCATCAGATATTCTTACAGCACCTAAAGGCTGCTGTGGAAGAGTCTTGCAGTGAATAATACTTACGTTGCAGGGTTTTTGCTAGAGCTGTTTTTGAGTAATGGGTATCTGTGTTGCACTGGATTAAACATCCATGGGGCTAAAATGACCCCCTTGCATAAAGGTTTGAAGGAAGATTGGGGCTGGAGTGCAAAACGAGGTAATTTTAAAGATGAGCAAGCTGTAATTGTTTTTAAAATTAAATCTTTTTTTTCTCTCCTTCCCTTTTTGTTTGAGTTTTTTTCTTTTTTTTTTTTTTCTCTCAACTAGAATGTGTGCTTACTGAAAACTGTTCTCTTCATTCTAGGTACTTTGTTGACAACTCATTCCCCAACTCCAGTAGCCCCTCATCCAGTTACTATGCCCACGTATCGGGCTCCAGGAACACCAACCTATAGTTATGTGCCCCCGCAGTGGTGATCATCCTGGCAGTCAGTGTAAGTTACTGATTTAGATTGAAACCACTTAATCTTTCTTACCAATGACAGCATTGCAGGTTCTTTGGGGGAGAGTCTCCAGAAGGTAAGCAAAGCAGTCTGGGATGCTTTTACAGTGTCCTAATTGACTAGGAATACACAAAAATTACTGTTTATTTACTAGCTGTTCCTTGCAAAGTGCAGCTTTGTACTTTGTACTTCTGTACTTTGTACTGATGGGCTTTTTCAGTGGTCTGTTTCTTCACAAATCATGAATCATTTTCATGGTTCTTGTTTGTTGAATATGAAAGAATGAGTCTCAAGTTTGCCTTCTTAAAATACATCTGGAATTAAATGTATTCAGTGTTTTGGAATCATTGGTAATTGTTGAATTCAGCAGTACTTGTGATTCCTGAATGAAATAATGCGTGTGACTGAAGTCTTATTTTTGATTGGCTAAATATGTAGGCAAGGCAAGTGTTTTGCCTTGCTCTGAGGGTGAATCTTTCTCACAAGCTGCTGAAACAAATAAACAACCTTGAGATAATTTCATATATTCGTTCTGTTTCAGGTAAGTATCAGTGCATACTTCTTGCAGTCAGCGTGGAAAAAGCGTTTTTAGTGTGAACCAAAATTTAGATAATGGATTTCAAGAAAAGGAGTTTAATTTTGAAATCTGCTATAAAGTGGGATGGACTTTGGGGGTGTAATCAGTGTCAAAATGACACAAAGCCTAATGTTTTTGTGATACATATTTCTCTTTCTGGTTTGTTTGGTTATTTTTAGCATAAGTTGAAAGGAGCTTCATTTGAATTAATGACTTGCCAGACCAACTGAACTTGAAATTTTCACTTTTAGTCCATTTAGTTTATGACAAAAGTTAACTTTGTTTTAACTTGCTCTGGATTTCTATTTCAGCAGTTAGAAATACAGAGTTCTGTGATGACAGGTGACTATTCCCTTTGAGTTAGAAATGCAGCAGCCATTTCTCATTTTGCGTGATGCTGCATAGAAGTCTGCACATCTGAAATGTTTCACAGAGTATTTCAGCCGAGGACATTGTATTACCTGAGTGTAAAAAGTGAGAGTTTGCTGGGAGTAAACTCATGACTGATGGTAATGAAATTTAGCACAAAATACCTTTTTAATATTGCATCTTCTACTCCAAACAAAAGTCAGTGATGACAGGAAGCTGGAATGGACATGCCAAAAGAAAACCCTGTAGTCAGTTCTAACGCAGAAGCCTCTCCATGTCAGTTGACAGGATAAGTGCTGGGGTAACATTATGTAGCACTTAACATTTGTTGTGTGTGTATCAGTGTGGTGCATGCAATGTCAGAATGTTCTGCCACACTCAAAGAGTGTTTCACCTAATTGAGAGTATTTCCCACTCTTTTCCCCCTCTTAATGTAGGTTTGAAGATGGGAGATATGCAATCAAGAAATTGAGGTTTAAAAGTTGGTGCTGAAGCCCTCATGCCTCCAACCAGGACTTTCCTTCTGAATGCTTTCAACACTTGGCTAAACACTACTAATTCCTGATCACTGAAGATTTTCCAGTGCTGCATATCTTACATCTTGGAACTCCAGCAGTTAGTCTTAAAGCAAATCCTGTTTTGTGGACTGTCTTGCAATTTTTTAGCTAATTATAACGATAAAAAGGGAGTATAAATTTATTCTGATCCATATCTAGTTGAATGCATGTTAAAACACAAAAACAAAGCTTGCTCAATCTACCTGCAGTGACTGATGCAAAAACCATCATATGCAAATCCAAAGGAACCGAAAAGTATTTTACAACTTGTATCACTAATGCACTGTTGTAATGTATGCGGGGTCTGAAAAGGTAGAATCATGAAAGTGAGTTTCTTTCTGGAATACCATAACATACATTAGATAAGTGCTTCAGCCTTTTTCAGGTTGATGGAGTTGCCGGTTTAAAAGGGGCATATTTTTATTTAAGTGATGTGTTCTTTTCGAATTCAGCTACTAAATTGGAGTGACTGGAAAATGAGTCAGACAAGCTGTAGAAATCCCGCACACAATTAGTTTACTTCATACCTTTTCATTTTCATGATATGAATTCAGTGTTATACAGATGTTCTTAGGATCAGAATGAAATGACAGAGGTAATGCTGTGTGTGCCAGTAAATAAGGCAAACTTCCTTGAGGCAAAACTGGCTCTTAGGAATAGCAGGAGGTGATATCACCTGCATAAAGAATTGCATGTCCTGGGGAGATTTCTGTCCAGTACTATCTTTCATACGATGCAAGATGTGTCAAAGTGAGACTGCCACACAGATTGATAGAAAACACTTTCTTTTAGTTCTCAGTTGAGGAAATCCGTGCTGTTTTTCCTAAAGAATGTTGTAGTCAGTTGAAAATGTATGTGCAGCTGATCCAGCTTGCTTTCTGGAAACTTAAGAAGTGCGAGGGCTTTCTGCAGCAAACAGTTCAGCTGCATGTTACTCTGAGGAAAGCTTGTGTGCCTGATGAGTATGTTAAAGGGGAACAAATCATTTTAACGCAATTTCCTTATTAGCTACTTGCAGTATGGACTATGGATACTCTGTAGTAGGGCTGCCAGAGGTTTCAAAAAGCAGTTCTTTTTTTTTTTTCTGGAAGTATTCGTAATTGAAATAGGAGCCACATGTTGGTTACAGCATTTTTACGTGTTTTCTTAGTATTTTTTTTTTACTTCCTAAATTGCACTTGGAAGCACGTAAAATAAGACTGAACTGCAGATTAGCATTTCATTGCAGTGAGTCATTTGTGATATTCTTTCTTGCAACTTCAATTTTTAAAGTACCTCAAAGCAAATGCTGTGGGCATAAAGGGCTAGCCTTGGAACCCATTTGTATACCAAAATTGTTATGGGAGAGATTTTAAATTTTTAAATTTGAATATTGCACATTAAAATCGAGGTTTTTCTTAAACCTGCTTGACTTACAATTCCAGAAAGATGTAATTTTCTTTTTTTTTCTTTTTTTGATACATTCTGCCTGCTATAAATTATGCAGTAAATGGTTATAAAATGTTGTTCCCTTTTAAGTATTTACACCGAGGTATATCAGGCTGTATTGTTCCCTTAGGTAAACTTCCATTCAGAATTAAATTTTTTGAAGTTGTGTATCTAGTTACGCTTTGTTTTGGGGTGTTCTGCTCCTGCACAGATTTGGCAGCTGCTTCGGGGCAGCATCAGTGCTGATTTAGTGCTGCCATCCCAGTACTCTGCCCTGGTGGGAGGCTTGTGTACCTTCATACCCCATTGGTGGTTAGAGCCTTCAGTAACTTTATTTTTTACAGTAAGCACTCTCTATATTTTGTACCCCCCCTTTTTTTTTTTTAATAAAGTTTAGGTTTATTTTGCATGAATCACTGTCAGTGGATGGCCCCCTTATTTCTAATGCCTTGAACATAACTATGTTGTTAGAATAAGTACTTAAAACCTTATTCGTGAGCACTTACTGCAGCTTAGGGATTTCCATATGTTTTTTATATGGAGCAGAAAATTACCCAAGACAAACTTAGTTGAATCTGTAGTGCTTTGTTCAAGTCTGTTTAACAATTCCATTTATGTAGTAGTGTGCAACTTTGATTAGTGAGGTGTGGCAGAGCACAATGAGCATTAACACAGGGCACTTGTCCTGAGCGTGGTTTTAACCAGGAGCTGAGGTCTGGAGCAGGGCTGTGTTGGGGAGGAGCTGGGAAGGCCAAGCTGAAAGCTTTGCTGTCTCCCGTCTCATCACCATAAACTGAAGCTTTGAAAATCATAGGAGAGAACTTCCATGAATGCTGCAATAGAGAAATAGTTGAGAAATGAATATAACTTCCTGTATATTTGCTCTAACTTCAGATTCCTAAATGTCACCTTGGAATTGGTCTCCATATAGTATTCCATAACATTTAGGCAGTCTCACTTACTTGAGCACTTTTTTTTCTAAGTTGCATTATGGGATTCATCCAGGAGGGAGAAACTGTACCTTTTCCAAAGGTACTACACCTTCCAGTTCTGAGCGATTCTGATCTGCTGGGAGGCTGGAGCGTGTCTCCAGGAGTTGTTATGAAAAGTAACCAAAAGCACAGTGCAGGGGGACGGGGGAATATGTGTATATATAACTATCTTAATGGTATTTTGTTGCAAATAGTAGAAAGCATGGATATAAAACTGCAGCAGGGGAAACTGTACATCATTAAATAGGCGTTTACACAGTGAGGGTCTTACGAAACATTCTCTCCTGCTTTTTATATAACATTCCCTATTTAGAATTCCTTTATAAATGAATACGCAGTATGTGTTTGCACAAGAGCTCCTCAGCAAGTGAAAAGAGCTAGTGCAGTAGAGACATTTCAGATCAAGCTTCTCTTTAAAAAAAAAAACAAAAAAAAACAAAAAAAACACACAAAAAAACTTTTATGGCAGCTTTATATAATTAAAAAAAAAAAGTACTACTATAAACCTGGAACTGAAAATAACTTGCAGCAATAACAAAGAGAAGTCCAAGAAAGATTTTTCTTTTTTTTTGGTTAAAATTCAAATTTCAAGTGTCGAGTTCAGATAAAGTATTTTTAAAAAACTGAGGTATTCCCTATGTCAGTAACAGCTGATGAAAATGTCTTTTAAATGTAGCAGCAGCAAAATAAAAGTGGCTAATAATTGGCACCAAAAACATGTAGCCCTAGTCAGTGGCATGGTGGTTAACTAAACACTAGGAAGGAAAAGAGAGAACCTACTATTAGATGTTGCTTATGCTTGTTGTAACCATCTCCTGTTTGAAGTTTCTAGGAGACATGCAGGAATGCTGTTCAAGAAAGCTTCTTTTTGAGTGTACTATGCAAGTTAAATGCTTAGATGCAGTGGTAGACAAAAAAAGTCCTTTATTTTAGTTGAAGTTCTTCCTCGTATTACTTCATCCACTGAAAAAAACAAACAAACAAAAACCAGAACCAAACCACCACCTGTCAGTACCACCGTGTCTTAGTGTTGTCAGAAAATAGCTGATGGTGCAGAGCTGTATACCAGGGTACTCAGCATTGACTGCTCTCCAGGGAGCGTTCTGGCTTCACTGCTCCTTGGGTAGTAAGGCAAGAGATGGTCAGGATTGTCTTGGAATCACTCCCCAGTGCTTCAGCACAGTATTACACACTTGTTCATTTGGGTTTTGCTTGAATAGGTGAGCACAGCAATCCAATACCACCACCTAAGTAGGCTTAAACTCATCCCAGGAGTAGTAACTACCGTGTGTGTGAAACCTTCCATCGTAGGATCGTGAGCGATAGTGATGCTTCAGCTGGAGCTGGAGGGAAAGGACGGACGCGGGGGCTGTGCCTGGCCTGTGGTGCCCGGGCTGTGGTCTGTGCCTGGCCTGTGGTGCCGGGGCTGTGGTCTGTGCCTGGCCTGTGGTGCCCGGGCTGTGGTCTGTGTCTGTGCCTGTGGTGCCCGGGTGCGGTCTGTGCCTGGCCTGTGGTGCCCGGGCTGTGGTCTGTGTCTGTGCCTGTGGTGCCCGGGTGCGGTCTGTGCCTGGCCTGTGGTGCCCGGGCTGTGGTCTGTGTCTGTGCCTGGGCTGTGGTGCCCGGGTGCGGTCTGTGCCTGGCCTGTGGTGCCGGGGCTGTGGTCTGTGCCTGGGCTGTGGTGCCCGGGTGCGGTCTGTGCCGTGTTCATGGCAGACAGGCCCAGTCAGCCCAGGCCTCTCCAGCAGGTGTCAGGCGGGAGCCCCAGCCCCGTGTCCCGGCGGTTGTGAACGCTGGAACAGACGCGGCGAGTTCAGCTCATTCACATTGTTCTCATTACTAAGTGTCAGCTTTCTAATCCTGTATCGTGTCAGCTCGAAGGGTCGTGCAGAGCCCTCAGACGTGAGGAGGTGCAGTGCTGCTTAGCAGGAGCTCCTGCAGCAGGGAAGGGCAGTTTGTGCATCAGGGCTCGCCAAGAGCCGAGTTGGTTCTGAGCTCTGCTCCGAAGGAGCGAGGCCTCGGCAGGCTGTGCACCTCTGTCAGGGGTGCTGAGGGGGAATAAGGGCTGGTTTGTAGACTGAAGAGAGGGAAAAGGAACAGTGCTTATCTGGGGACAAGGAAACCTTTTCTTGTGTGGGTTGCATATAACACTGAAACATCTGAATTTCATGCGTAGTAAGGGTCCATTTGTGATTTGTAAAATTTATGGGCTCTGAAGTTTAAACATCAAGAAAGTGAACATGACTTTTCTAAACTGGTTGTGACTTTTGGGCACTTAGCAGGCAAACTGGGAAAGCTTTTTTAGCTGGCTGCTGTACAGATTTGTTTTAAGTAGAAGGGATTTGTTAGTGGGTTTTTTTTAATTGTAATGCTATTATTGGCTGCCCTCCTGTCCAAGATTTAAAAAAGTGAGTGCATGCAATGGAAGTACAAGAGGCCCCAGTAATAGTTCTCCATGTTTGTTATGAAATAGACACAGGTTTCCTTTTTATGACTTTTTTTAAAACTGTCTTAGGAACAGTTGTATTGGTACTTTTTTTTTAAGTTTAGGTCAATGTTGTCTTCCAGAATAAGTTTTAAGGCATCACTCACTCCTGCATTGAACTATTGCATCAACACAAAGAGTGGAGATTCCATTCTGAGCCAGTTCAATTGTGAAAATTCATACTTTTTTTATTTTTTATGCAATTCAATGAGTAGATGAGCTCAGATTTAAATTCTTAAAAGCACGTTTATTGTAACAAGAATTGTTATGTATTAATACTTCAGTTTTCAATAAAGATTGACTTGTGTTGCTTATTGTGGTTTTTTTTTTTCCTACTGTCTTTGCTGACATCCTTCCAGAAAAGATTCTGTTGCTGGAGAGCAGAATGGTATGTTTAAACTCTTTAAGCTGGTGAAATCTGATAATTAACATTGAAATGGGTTAAGTGACTTTTCTCAGTAAGGTTTCTTAATGGCAGCAAAACACAGTGGTAAAGGCTCCCCAGTGGGGAAGAAGCTGCCCTAAGTTGCCCTGTCTGAGAGTATGGTAATGATGTGCAACCCTGCCTTGTTCCCTTTTGAGGCATTTCTTACTTTTGAGAGTTTTCTTACTTTATTTTACAGTTTAAAACAAAGGAAATGGAACAGATGTAAAATTTGACAATACTTCAGCTTCAGCTTTGGTTGATACCAAACCCATGGTGTTTGATTGGAGAGGTGACAGGCCTGAGCAGAAGGCTGTTATAAATCAGTTTGAGTGTTCCCCAGAAGGAAAAGAATTGAGTAGGTGTGAAGTGTGGGTAATTATCCTATTTCTTTAGTGTGGGGGTGGTTGTAAAGCACTAATGTTAAAATGGAATTATGTGTATTTCAGGGGAACAGAACTATGCTGCTTGAACTAACTGGCTATTTTGATTTATTGTAGGTCTCCAAAAATAACAGTAACTTACCTGGTAATGTTCCTGTGAAAAGCAACATGTGGAAGAGGAAGGTGCAACGTGACTGTGTCACTGTGGTTGTTGAGATATTGCCACAGGTGGTTTAGTCAGTCGAGTACTTGAGCTTCTACAACTGTAGCCGAGCACTAGGGATCCCGGGGACAGATTGGTTTTCTTTCCTCAGTGTGCTTTATCTCAGCTAAGTTCTGGTCACTTGTCCTGGGATTGCTTTCATGTTACAGGGAGACAGGTTTGGGGGTGTTTTTTGCATAGCACTGGAGCTGATAAAAATTCATAATCCTCAGCCAGTGGGTTGCTGGAATCTGGGATGCTCTAAAGGGAAATACTGTTCTTCAGAATGGTGCTGATCACTCCTGGGATTCCAGTCTAGCTGTTCTCGTGGGGTCTGTTGCTGTGAAGCATGACTTTGTGCCATGTTCAGCTCTCATAAGAATGTGGTTCTGAAGTCTGTATGTGGGGTTTCTTTCGTGGTGGTTTTAAATGTATCCATGGAACTACCAAAATGGTGGGTCAGTAATGGTTTGATTTTTTCCCCCTCTTCCCACGCTCACTGTGCAGTGGCAGTGTAATGCACATTACTGTCCCACTCACTGACAAGTAGAGTTAGTTACTTACTGCGAAAGTTAGATGTATTGATAAGAACTTTTCTCATTTTAAGGGCAGCTTTGAACACTTAAAACCAGCCAGAGCCTCTTCCAGAAAAGTGATTGTCAGAAATAGGAAGATTAGAGTTTGAAGTTTTCCCGTAACTAATAATGGGGAAAACCAAAGTTTGCTGTTTCTAGCATCTTGCTTTAGATTCTAAACTCATTGTAAAAAAAGCTTGGTAACAGAAATAGTTTTGTTGCTGAGCTCCCCTGGAATCACGAATGGTTATTATTTAGCTGGGAATTTTTCTGTGTAGGAAATGTCAGTCATAGAAGGTGTTGCTGCATTAGATGGATTAAAGGTCTGACTCGTGTGTGGGAGGCTAAATGCTCTCCTGATTTTATTTTGGTATCCATCAGGCTATTAGCTATCCAGAATATTAATCATCCAGAATAGAATGGGGGCCATGTGACTACTTTAAAATAAACATTAAAAAATTTACAGCAGCAAGAAGTCTTTGGTAGCTGTGGGAAGTTGTGCTGTGTGTCACAGAGGGAATGGCAGACCTAGAGGGAAGGCTGTTGAGCCTTGTGGGTACAAGTAACCCATAGCTGTAGTCCTTGCTGCTGGACTAAAAGATATTTCCAACGCAACCTTGACAGAGAAAATTTAGCACTGAACAGCTCAGCTGTCAGCTTCAGTTACTGCAGCCGGACCTTCATTTTTGGATTATATGAATCTACTTTATAGTGTTTTACAATAGCTTTTTCTCTCCTGGGCAAGAAGGGTAAAGTACATGGACAAATTGATGCTTCAGACAGAGGGAGAGGAACACACCTTCCCTCAGTTTTGCTTTCGCCAGCCTGTATGAATTGTAATCATGTGAACTTCACACTTGAGCTCTAACGCTCAACTCTGTTTCAGTGCACGAATGCTCATGTGGCTGTGGCTGGGGTAAGGATTTTCTTCATGGTGGGATTTAGATAGCAAGCATATTGTTTCAGGTTGCTGGAGGTTAAAGAAAAAAAGCCCAGGTAATGGGTGGGCAGGCTGCTGCTTATGAGAAAAGGGGAAGAAGCAGGTGTGGAAAGATAGCAGGAACTTCTAAGCAGAATGCTGTTACATGTGATTATGGCAGATATAAAGGCTGATGCTGTATACTCAGTAGTGTTTTGTGGGAGGATTACAGAATTAGACAAGACTAAAGTTGGTAGCTTTTTTATTTCCCATCTCACAACTGTATATGTAAGCAGTCACACAAAGGTACACAGGTCTGGGGGAAATATCACAGGTATTGCATTTGCACAGGCTGTGAAACAGGGAGCTGCTTTGGTAGCGAAGTTGTGCAAAAGAGGAGCTCAGGACGTGCGGAGAGGAGAGTGGAGTTGTGGGGAGGAAGATGACAGGAGTGTTAAGCAAAAAGAACAAGCAGCCTGCGTTTTTCCTAAAACTGCCAGCACTGCCGAAGCCATGGGATTTTAGTAATGTAGCTTGTTAAGGATAATGTGTGAGAGACACGGGGAGAAATGAAGTGTGGTGCGAGGTGTTAATCCCAAGGCAGGGCAAGCTGGGATTGCTGTGTGGCTGGAAAGGAACACCCTTTGGCTTCTGAGCCTGGAGCTGTGGCTGTGAGTGTAAAGGCAAGTGAATCCAGGTTGTTCTGGAGCATGTGATCCCCCACCCTGTGTGGCACTCGGGGAAGTGCAGGAGCCCTGTGCCCTGTCACACTGCTGGCTGTCACCTTGCACTGGCTTCACTCTGAAACGATCTGAATTGATTTGTCTCTGCTGCTTGGAAGATTGATTCCCTCTCTTGCACTATCAACCTGAAAGAATACCACTGTGCCTTCAGTGGGTTAAAATCAGCTGAAAACACTTCAAATTTTTTTCAGTGAACTTCCCTCCATTATCAAAGCTCTTATTCTTTAACCCATTAATTACCTGAAGACCTGATCCTACAGCTTTGCTTAGGCTGGGAGCTCTGTGACAGGGAGTTTCTCTGGTAGGTTGGGACAGGACATTCTAGTTGAGACTTGGTCGAAAACATGAGTAGCAGCAGGTACAGGCTGAGGCTCCAGCAGTTGAATGAGGTGTGAATAGTTCCCTTCTTAAAGCTTTGGGAATTGCTGTACTACCATAGTCACTGTCCAGAAGGGCATTGCAGTGCCATAACCCTCCTTAGCAGGTACATGGTGAAATCTGACAGGAGCATTAAAACAGCTGAAGTAAAGCCAGTAAAATAAGAATTTAGCACTTGGCTGGGTGTTGTCCCCCACAGGTGCTGACAGTTCTCCAGCAGTCTGGGTGGTGAGTGGTGCAGTACTTGTTCAGAACACTGATATTTACATATCAGTCTTGGCACCGATTTCTTCAATGCTGCTCTTTCCACTACAGTAAATCTGTAGGAGCACAGCCTGATATTCTGACATATATTGCAAAAGATGAAAGGCCTTTTCCTTTAAAAAACCCTAATTTCAGTCATTCTGGCACCCCAAGAAATGTAGCATTTTCAGTCTGAAGCTGAGATTCTCATGGAATGCCTGTCACCGGCAAGTGCCTTGGTTCTGTTATCTCATCATCTGTTGGTGAGGGGGAGGCCTAGCTTCCTGATGTTTTTGGGAAGCTGTTGGGACACCCAGATGCAGGTGGTTGTGCTGGTTCTTGGATGACAGACTGCCATGCTGGCTTTGTGGAGCAGTGTCCTGGATGGTGGGAATCACCTGCAGTGCACACAGTGGCTGGCCACAAACAGGACTCCCCACCACCCAATACCCCACAGCTCTTCAGGTTACAGACAAAACAGAAAAGATACTAAAGGCTGCTTTGGGGGAACTTATCTCTGCATAGGAATTGATCTAGTTGTTATTGTGAGTTAGTACAAAGACAGTTTGTTCTGGTTTTGATGCTCTCAGAACTTGGCACAGTGTATACACCCACCGTGTCTGAATCAGTTATTCCAAACTAACAGTTCAAAACAGAGAGTTTGTGGCATTTTTTTTTGGTCCCAGCAGAAACTTCATTATTTAGCAGCCACCAGTTCTCTTCACATTACTGGTAGTTTCAGGAAATCATTCTTTTGACTGGTTCACATGCTTTACATAAGTCTGTGTCTTACTTGACCAAGTGAAAAGTGGGCAGATTTAGCTCCTTAAGAAACATGGCTGTTTTCACAAGAAGCTTCCTAAATGGATAGCTACAGAAGGAGGGGAACAGATAGAGCCAACACCTCTAAAAACCCAAACCACCCCGAATCAAATCTTCCTGTCCACTTTATGTAACTCAGAGCAGGACTGTTTTTCTGAGCAGTTAGGATGGTTCTACCCTGAAATCCAGAAGGATTGATGCTGTTCAGCCTCATGTCAGGAGCTTCCGTTTGTTCTGTATGAAAATCTGCATTTCTGGCCCATGTAGGTGGTTCATCTCCAGAGCTCCTCTGACATCTCACAGCTCTGCTTCATGTTTCAAATGGGCACTTCTTGTGGATCTGGCAAGACTGTGCTGTCCATTTAGATCAGAGAGCTTGTCAGAGGCTGTACTTGTGTTGCTCATATGCCAAAACCCCCGTTAGCACGAGTTTAGCTGATGCCCTTGTGAAGCTGCACACTGTGTACACACACACCTCCTGGCCTACACACGTGTTCTCCCTGGTACTGTTCACTGCCAGAACAGTGGAACTCCATTTGAAATCCAGATGCCAGGGCGAAGAGGAAGGAAATTCAGGGTTGGTTAATGTGTTACCACCATCTCACACACAAGTACGCTTTGCCAT